CTGATGCCGATATTGAATTCTTACCAAGTTAAGATTGTTTCTAATTCAGGTACATGTGATTTTCTACAAAAGGGGAATGGAAAAAAAGAAGGAAAAAAACAGAAAGTTTTTTTGCTATTCGGAGGAGAACATGCAAAAGGCTATCCAAGCGGTGAAAGAAAATGGGCTAAGTAAAAAAAAGGCTGCCCAACAGTACCATGTTCCTCTTAGTACTCTAATCAGGAAAATGGCAGGAGACAGTCCATGTTGTAGAAAAATGGGACCTCCATCAGAGTTATTTGAAAATTAAGAAAATGTATTGGTTTCATGGATATTGGCCATGGCGAAAAGAGGATTCCCAGTACACAAAACCAATCTCATCATGTCTGTAAAAAAATACTTGGAAGATAATGGTAGAGAACCTCGCTATTTAAATAAATCTAAAACACCGGGAAGATCTTGGTTTGAAGGATTTCTTAAACGGCATCCAGAAATCAAACAGAAACATGCAGAATCTTTGAGTAAAGCTCGTGCAGCTGTTACCCAAGACCGTATCCATAGATGATTTGATGAAATTCTAGATTATTTCAAAGAGAATAACCTTCAAGACATCCTTCGTGATCCCACCCGAATATTTAATGGAGATGAATCTGGATTCATGCTTTGTCCTAAAAGTGGAAACGTTTTAGGACCAACCAAATCAAAAGAGGATTTTTATCAAAGAGTATCTGCTGAACAAGAGCAGATTACTGTTATGGCTACATCTTCGGCAGATGGAAAGATAGTACCACCAATGCTTATCTTTTCATATAAAAAGATGTTCTATGTTTAACTAAAATTTAAAAAGAGTTATAATGTTTTAATCAAATTATTTATCGTACATTGGACCTTTACAGGTGTTATTTTGAAGAAGGATGATCTAGGAGCCGAAATACAGTCTATGACCAGTGCAGGTTTAGGTGTATGGAAGTGGCCAAGCAAAGAGGATATTCTTTATTATTTCAAAGAAGATATTGTATGCGTCATAGACGAGCCAAAGGTTAAAAATACTAGAGGCCATTTTACTGTTCCAGAAATGAATAAATATGAATAAAATTAACATTTTTCCGAGTGTCCATTACTCACCCACAATGTGTTCATTACCTACGCAACTGTGTCCATTACTGGCACATTTGATGTAGTATCACAATATAAAATATTAAAATAACAATTATTGTTTTACGTAATTTGTTTACAGACTGTTAGAAAGTGCACTAAATAAGCTTTCATCTGGTGTGCTACAAATTGATTTTGACCGAATATTAATAATAATAACATTATTTAGATTTCAAATTTTCTCTTGGGTGTCCATTACTGGGGCAATTACCCTATATCACGTGACTGCTTATATTTAAAACTGAAATAGATATGGTGACAGTTATGTATGTATAACTTCTTGCAAACAGTAATCATTTTTGAATTCAATGTGTCATTAAATTTGGTCTTTACAATATGTCTGTATCTCCCTAATTAAGTAAGATAAATATTGCTCATTTGAAACACTCGTATCTAACACTATTTCATTATTTTTATTTCATATTTAAAGAACTCCGTATGTCTTTTTCTGTTTTTGGTTTCTTGTAACAAACTAAACATTACTTACATATTTCCATATTAGATGGAGACTGGTTACCACAGGCAATTTCAGTTTAAGCACACGAGACTATGAACAAGCTTCAGCAGCTCACCGCGATGATATAGGCTTGTTATTATAGTTTCTATCAGAGCAGTCTAGGCATTATTTACCAAAATCACAGTTGAGTGAGTTATTTACACTGTCTGCAATAACCGTGTGGAAGTCTGGTTACTTGTGATGTTTGTAGGACTACTAAGTAGAGATATTTTCACAAACTTATTTGAAATTAATGTAAATTAATATTGCAGCTTACAATATGTATGCATCAACATATCTTATATGTTGTTTAAGCATTCAGCATCCTTAATCGCCGGGATGGTGTTAGTTGAATCTACAAAACTACAGAGAAGTATTTTTGGTTAGTACAAATAAATAACAGCAAAAATGAATGTTTTGTTTATCAATAACAAAAAAAACTTCCAAAAAGCAAATATAAATAACAAATATGAGTATATCCGGTAAATTTCTAGATTTAATATATAAGGTAACTTCATTTATAGAATTTTCGTTCATTTAAGGTGGTAAATATAACAATAAAAGAGGTTTACTAAAATTAGTTAGTCGCACTTAACCTTTAGTAAGGATAGTTAAAAACCGACGATCTCATGTTTATGCTGTCTATGGAAGGCATTTTTATATGTCAACGAGGCGGCACTGTTCGACGAGGAACTACGATCAAAGTGCGAACCTCAACCAATAAAAAATTAAAAAAGTCTTGCATAAATCGCTCAAAAAACGTTCAAGGATAAATTCTTTGTTAAAAATTTTCTCAGTCAGTGAGTAGTGAGCGATGATACGGTTTAGGTGCATAAAAATAACATTGGTACAATTTAACAATTAATTGTTATAATTGTTTAATTTGGCGTGTTTTAAAGTGTTATGGTGTGTGTTTGACGAGGAAATGAAGTACCGGCATTAAAGGGTAAGTTTTACAAAACTGAAATTTTTATAGGTTAGTTGACAATTTAAAATGTTTAATTAATACAAGACTCTAAAACCTAACGTGATTCAACTTGATATTAATATTCTTGTAACAACAATAAAAATGAATTATTATAACAAACAAATCGAGATTTATCCTTTATATATCTACGTATCTTTATTGACACGTTTAATATCGATAACCTACACCAACCTGCACAAAGAGTAATAACGCTGTGGTTTAAATAATTTTCCACACGAAGCGTTTTGCATAATTTATTATCGTAGTACAGTAGTTCCCTAGTTATCAAGAATCTGTGTTTTGACCTTCATACAATAACTTTACCCTGCAAACTTCCATCAATATTTGCCCTTAATTTGCATTAACGCTGAAATTTCGAATCAGTCAACAACAGAGGAATTACTAAATTCTGCATTGTTGCACGCACATTGCCAAAACTATTAAATTAAGCCCCATATGTTGACAGAGAAATATGTGGTAAAAAAATATAATGCACAGATTCAGAAAGGTGAGCTTTAACTACTTTCACCCTTATAACATGATTTAATACGGTGCCATCGACAAGAATCTTAACCAAGTTATCGGTATCGCTGATTTAAATGTTGCATGTCGTTGATTGATTACAGTTTTAGTTATCAACAAGTGTGAAAGGAGAAAAAACGCGACGTGACGGTATTACAAGTTAGCGTAACTTTGATCAAGATAATTTTCAATCGTATCGTCTTAAAATGAAAATGCGATAGAGTGTAGTATTTAATTAGATACTTTAAATAAATCACCTAAAATTTTTAACAAGATTATCGGCTCGTCAAGCTTTAAAAAGTATACTTTTATGTTTAATTATGATCAAGTTCTCATCATTTACAACGTTAAAATGAGAACGTTTTCAATTATTTGTTAATAAATAATTACTTCTTTTTTACAGTGGGTCCGATTCTATGAAAAAGGGGGGACTCACTGCCAAAAATAATAGCAGCAGAAAATGATGCCGTAAAGGTAGGATTTTTGTTGTGTTATTTTGTCTATTCTGTTACATTTTATAGCAAATTCAGTTAAACTAAATTAGTCTTTTCATAATAAAATATTCAGTCTAAACCACTGCTACCTGGTTGTGTTATAATTTTTGGAAAATTTGTTCCTGACACTGTCTGATATTAAATTGTCAAAACAAAGTGAGAACGTAGCGTGTCTACAATAATTTTATATGAATTTGTCATAACGATAACATGATAACAACAATCAGTGTCTCATTTTTAATTGGTTCCTTGTCTTTTTTATGTAAAAGTACTATTTTTGTGTATTAATGAAGCTTTATGTTGTTCGTGTTATTTAAGCTTACGATAATAATCGAGCAACCTTCCCGATAGAGATCTTCGTCGACCCTTCCTAGACGACACGTATCGGTTTAAGTCTGCTTAAATTTCAGGGTCGTATTTAGGAAAATGGTCGTCAGAGATTTACTGGGCTAAACATTGAAAAAATATAGTTTCCTGATTTTGAAAGTCGATTACTTACATATGACCTACAAACGCAAACAGCAAGTTAAAATTCCGTTGCTGTACGCGATCTTTCTAGTCCCCTCAGTAAAATTCCTTGTAGAGTAAAGCTTATCCGCCTCTGTTCACCATTTGCCGACCGTAAGGTTTCGATCGAGGCACTTTTACTTTTAGGTTGTAAAATTTTATTAATATTAAAAAATAGTCTTTTCATTGTACTAAAGTACATGCCACTGATGGAACTACCTTATTTGTATTGGTCACATATTCTTAAACATATTTGAAGTTTAACTCAAAATTTGCTCCATTAGGCTGTTACATTAATTTTAATTCAAGTTTCCATTTCGCCACTTCGTTGTAACTTTGACACATCGTCTGCAGACATACGTTTTAGTGACAAAATATGATCAAAAGTAACTAGAAAGTTTTTTATCGCTTGTTAATATCGTAGCCAAAAATTAAATGTAGTTTGAAAAGCCGTTATGGATGTCATTAAAGACATATACAATATTCCTATAATATTTATTGACATCTAGAAACAACTGTAATGGGTTGCCAACACTAAACGACTCAGGTGGGTCATCTGGGCAGAATAACCCTGTATAAATCAGTGTTGAGACTCTAAAGCCCAGGATGTGCCGTATGCACGATATATCAAAATGGGATTCCACTTTGAAGCTAAAAATAATGGCGTTTACTAAATTTTATTCTCAATCCGTTTTCAGAGGACAAGGACACCGTGTCGACAACATTCTTTTTGAGAGATGATCTAAATATAATTACGAGAAAACTCACGTACGATCATAGACCTTTTTTATTATTTACCTAATTCATTTACTTAGTTCCCAGACTCTGTTTAAAATTGCATGCAACAGAGCTAAAAACATGCAGGTATAAAATTATTTACCCGCACTTGCACCATGCGGGGTAGTGAGCCGTTAGAATCCGCTTGAAAGCCTCGCGGAACTCCGTGTTGAAAATGGAGTAGATGATGGGATTAAATGCCGAGTTTGAGTAGCCTAGCCAGGTGAGGATCTTGAAGGTTATGTCCGGGATGCACGTCTTGCAGAACGCCGCGACGATGTTGATGCAGAAGAACGGCACCCAGCAGATTAGGAACACGCCCATGATGATGCCCACGGTGACGGCGGCCTTGTGGTCGCTCACGTGATACGGCGAGCTGTGGTGGTTGTGCAAGTGGATATGTAGGGCTTTGTTTTTCTGCTTCATGCTCTTTTTCGTGTTGGCGTTCTCGGGGAGGTCGATGGGCCGAGTGATGGCTCTGATGTTTTTTACGTGTTTTTGGGCGTAGCAGTACAGGCGGCAGTAGATGCCTGAAAGAAAATTAAAGGTTATCAACAAAAAACAAAAAATGAAACAATATTAGATTTTGTTCTTTAGATTTTTACTTTTAGAGTAAGAAAAAATAGGTTTCTGTTCCCGTCTGTCTGTCTGTCTGCCGTCTGTCCGTATTGTTGTCAAATTTTATATGCATATTAGGAATATCGTGTAAAATTTGGATAAACATCCTCAGCAACAGGATGACGTCATCTCCAAAATTTACATTTTTTCAATTTTATAAAATAAGATAATCCTTCGCATGTGGTTTATGAATCCGTGTTCAGTTTTTGCCCTAAATATCCAGATTTTTGGAAAAAAATCAAAGTTGTGTAACAACATTTTGCAATATAACTTTGAAACTGCACAACCGAATGGTCTCAAATCTTACAAACTTTTTAAGGTTGTCGTAGTCGTGGTAAATCGTTAATCAAAATTTGTTCGCTTATTCCCTTCCATAAATTGATGATGTCATCTCAAAATTTTGCCGAATAAATCATCTCTGAAATATGCAAAATATTATGACTCCATGATTGCGGTTTATTAATGCACTCATAGCTTTTACTTATACAGGGTGACTAAAAAAACACCGAAATCCAAAAATTTGTGTTATATATACTGTTATTGTTAGCATTACACTACATCCGTCAAAATTGATATACGTGTCCTTGCAAAAATGTTGATGACGCTATCACAAAAACTCAGTTGTGACAAAAGCGTATCCATGCTTCTTTACATTTACTTTAACATTACATACATGTCTTTATTTTAACTAACAAGGTTTATCATAAAAAAAATAAATTTGCGGAATCAATTATTATATTATACTTTTTCGAAAAATTTGGATGTACTTATATTTACCTTGGGCCAATTTTTTGATATCACAATTTTTCGTTTTTTCAACTTTAATTTTTTCATTTTCCAATTACCCGTCTTCCAAATTTTTCAAATTTTCCTTTTTTCAATTTTCCGATTTGCAATTTTCCGATTTGCAATTTTTCAAGTTTTCATCTTAAATGTTTTTTTAATTTTTCAATTTATAGATTTTGCAGTTTTTCCGGCTTTTGATTGTTTTGAAGTTTTGTCGATTTTTCAACTTTTAATTTTTCATTATCTCGATTTTTCAATTTTGCGTTTGCAATTTTTGGTTTCGGTTATGTTATTTTATTTATTTTTTGAATTTTTCAGTTTCTCAGTGTTCTGTTTTTATAATTCTTCTTTATTTTAAAGTGGATTTTAAAGTGGATCTGGATTTAATTTTTCATTTTTCAGTTTCTCGACTTCCAGAATTTTCAATTTCTCGTTTCTTAAATTTTTTTGCATTTTTTCAATTTTCAGTTTTACAATTATACATCACAATTTTCCGTTTCCTATATTTTTTAATGTTTCTTTCGATTTTATCATTTTTCATACATATATATGTATGTATATTCAATTTTTTAATTTTCAGTATTTCGATTTTGCGATTGTGCACTTTTTCGATTTTTAAATTTCTCAATTTTTTATCTTTCGATTTTTCAAGTTTTCTTCTTATACTTTTTCGTTTTTTCATTTTTGATATCTAAATTTTACAATTTTGCAATTTTTCCTTTTTGTTGACTCGAGAAGTTGAAAAAGCGAAAAATTAAAAATTGGAAAAATTAAAAAGTCAAAAAATTAAAAATCGAAAAACTTAAAAAATCGAAAAACTGAAAAAACGAAAAATGGCAATATAGAAAAATTGCAAATCCAAGACGAAGAAAGGAAAAACTGAAAGACTGAAAAACTAAAAATCTAGAAACTTAAAAGTCGAAAATAATTAATGAATTATCGAATCGAATCGAAAAATTGGAAAACCCAAAAATTGTAAAATTAAAAAAATAGAGAATCCTTAAAAAATTGTAATTGTCGAAAAACTGTAACATTGAAAGTTCGAAAAATTGAAAAATTAAAAAGTTTCAAAAACCATAGTTATTATTACATATTTAAAATTCAAACTAGAAAAATTGCAGATCAAAAATTGGAAAAATGAAAAATTGAAAAATCCAAAATTGAAAAAACAAAACAAAAAATTAAAAAAACTAAAAGTTGAAAAACCGAAAAATTGCAAATCAAATATTTGAAAGATCTAATAATTCGAAAATTTTACGTTGAAAAAAGAAGAATTATAAAACACTGAAATACCGAAAAATTGAAAATATAAAGAAAATGATAAATCGTTCGAAAAATTGTAAATCGAAACATTGCAAAAACTGAAAATTGAAAAATTCAAAAGTTGGAAAATTGAAAAACCGAAAAATTTAAACTTTAAAACTTGGTAAATTCCAAAACGAAAACTAAAGACATAAAAAAAATTAAAAAAATATAAAATTTTAAAAATTCAAGTCAAAAAAGTGCGGGAGACAAAAATCGTAAAAATTGTTAGAATTTTTTAAGAAGCGGCATTTGTTAGGCTGTACTTCAGGAGCGCGGAAAGTTAGGTATATAGAAATAACCTTCGACCAATTTTTTTAGTTACAATTAAGATGTAACCGATATAATTGGGTTTCGGAAAAATTGCTTAATTAAAGTAACAATTAAATTACTTTTTCTTCAACTGTAACCTTTAAACAAGACAAAGATAGGTTGTCATTCATCTTATCATTGGTTTTCATAGGGCTTTGCACCGTTTTCTCGATTTTAACCTTTAGGGTTAATATTACATGTAAGCATTATCGATTTCTCGTTTTATCAGAGGAGTTATTTTGACGTTGTAAATGTATTGGTGTGATAGGTGAAGGCTTTAATTTAAAACGTGTGTCAGTATTATTTCCAATTTCCTGGGAATAAATTACCAGAATTATTGTGTTGAATGTATCGTAGATTCAGTGACGTGAAGGAAGATCAATGAATTGAATGTACAGTGTACAGATTGCTGGACTTAAATTTTCCTAGAGCTTTTTCAAAATTTTGCTACTTTGAGCACAGAGCAATATAGACATGAAAAATATGTAAAACAAAAAATCAATCAGGTTGACGAAATTTATGGAAATAATGTAACAAGAATATTTTCTTAAATTTTTTATGAACCTATCAAATATAATTGAGTTGTTATTTGTACAACTTCTGGTAAAATCAAACAAACATACCCCAATGCGTCAATAAGAACACGTAAACATTTTTTTATGTAATTCCTGCCTGGAATTTTTACTGACATTATTGCAAATATTTTATAATCATGTTGATTGTAAGGAAAAAGTTCTTTAAAATAGTGACTGCAAAGTGAATTATATAATACTGTCATGAATAGTGTATTGCACAACGAACATTCGCGAGGAAGAAATTTGAGGTATGAGCTTAAAGCGAATGCTATACCCTATATTGTACTTTATTTGAAGCGACTAGTCGCTTTTTACTGCCTATTCTCTGAAGCGCAGACAGTAATTGTAGACCAAAAAACATTCTCGCTATTCATTAGCTATGTTGAGCTTTTATCTCCGTGACAAAAAGATAACTGCGATCTGCAGGAAACTTTATTGCAAAGAATGCGCCAACGTTTTTAAAACGGAAGTTTGTGCATGGAAACTTAAAAACTAAAAGATGCGCTTTCCTATGAAAATGCGAAGCTAATACCTCAGCTTGGAGAGTTAATCAAAAATCTTAGAGGAAGAATTAATCAACTTGAACTGAATTTTAAGACGGTTAACAATAAGCTCTGCGATGAACTGGGGTTGATTCAAATTAAAAGAGCATTTAAAGAGATCTGGGAGCGCTAACGGTGGGAATGCAACATTATAATTTATAACGTTACGGAGAGTGGTGGTTTTACTAACTAACAGTGACTTTGATTCTGAAATAGTAATTACTGTATTTTTATCAGCATATCGTACTTTATATCATTATCGTTTGTTTGAATAACACCATTTTTTTTTATTCACAATTCTTATTATTACACTTGATTATTATTTATTATTGGATTATTTAATACTGATTATTCACAATTATCACTTATTTCTACTTCACAATTATTCACTTCAATAATTACAACTTATCCGGGGAGTGCGATTATGACGGCTTAAATGAATTTCACGGCGGCGACTTCTGAACTAAACTACGCGTATGACGGAAGTCTCTGAACTGAAAAATAAATTATTCCGATGTCTTTTATAAGGAGGAAAACTGCAGAATTGAAGTTCTCATGATTTTGATGCAAGTGTGGAAGCGCATCTTGCACGTGGGAGAATAGGGGTCTGCAGAATGATTGTCCATTGTGGACTTAGGCTGATATCATTATATCTCCTTCGTTAGCTTGAAAATTGGGGGAGTTTTCAAAAGTCTTCTGGTGGTGTACCTGATAAATATCGGGAACGATATCTTGAATTCGGGGCCTGATACACTTGTGCTAATTAAAAAAGAACAATTAAAAAGATGTAGATTAAAATTGTCCAAATATTAGTAGAATATGTGACGTATCCATAGTCCTCTTTTTGGAGATCCTGTTGTATCTCGTGTTCTTGTTTCCAGATTTCTTCTTTAAGCTGCGTGTACATGAGCAAGTAAAACTGTCGCAAGCTACTCTCTGAGAGTACTTGCTGGTGCACTGGCTGGTGTAAACAGTGGTAGAGAGTACGCTTGCTGCAAGTTTTGCAAGTTGCGGCAAGCACTTTATGCAATAAACAATTTGCAAGTATAAACGATTTGCTAGAGACCTCTAGCCAAGCAGTATTTATTTCAAGCTTGCCTGGAAAGTTTTTATCTAGAGTGGCAAGCGGCATCAAGTTATTATTATTAAATATGGACACCAAGAAACGGTCGTGGTCCAAGGAAGAAACGTACGCCTTGATTCAAATGTATGAAGGATTCCCGGAATTGTGGAATGTAAAATCAAAAATGTATCGAGATAGGATTAAAAAAGAAAAAGCGTTTAAGGCCATAGCAGATAAATTTAAAGCTAGTGTAAGTGAAATCCAAAGAAAACTACACAACCTCCGCACTCAACAAAATCAGGAATGTAAAAAAATTAAGAAAAGACACAGTG